CATGGCCAGTTTTCAGCTGCACAAGAAGATCCAAAATGTGTTCAAAATACTCTCCCACAATGTTTTCCTCACGTAGTAGCAGGCACATGGTTGGTCGCCCAGTCAACTTCCATCGCTTGGCAACAAATTCGATGTCGCGCTGAAAACAAATGTCAGTGATCCGTCTGTTTCAACGAAAAGCGGCAGAATTCGGAACAGATTCGATAATTTGAGGACATATGACAGGAAAACCAAAAATAGTACAAAGGAAACATTCACCGCCAAGGGTAATTGCGGCGATAAGGCAGCTAAAAAAGAAATCAAGGTTTTCTGGCTAGAACTCGCTCAAAAAATGCTTTCTCGCCCCTTGGAACACATTTGGAATCCGCCATAAGGCGATGGCATGCGGTCATCAAGGTTCAGCAACGCTGTGAGGTATCACTCACAAATCGAGCCTTTCCTCTGGGGCAAAGATCACCTTGTGAAGAATACGAACGAAGAATCGATAGCAACCATGAACTAATAGCATAAAAAACTGTAACTGCGAAGAGTACCACACCTTGATATCGTCTATTAAAATGGCTGGATCGGAGTTCACGTAGAAATCCTTAACCTCAAAAAGAAGTGGATAGCACAACACTGTGTCTCCGAAAACTCGAAACACCTTCAAAAAAAGCATATGGAGAAGATGTAGGAGAACGTTTAATAACTCCCGCCAAAATAAACCTTGGATGTGCTCAAAGGTCCGAATGGTCGAGGTGGTCTTCCGCTGAGTCCTAACTTTTCATCTCTGCCGAGGCACTCGAATAGCTGAAACGACGCGGTGACTTTTTCTAAGGATAATATGGTAACCACAAGGAGTTGAAAACCGCAGCTAGCGTATATGCGTCTTTGAAAATTTTAATGACTGAACGAAAGAATCAAAGATACGCTGTATGCTCTAAATCGAGGATCTTGGTTCTTGCCATGTGCACAGTGAACGGGTCTGAGGCTGAAAAAGTGGGTCACGCGAAAAAGCGCCAATATCAGACTGAGAGCGGAATAGATGTCTTTCCGAACTTTTAGGCTGCATTCATACTTTGCGGAAGGGTTAACCATTGTTTCGAGCGTCCGTTACCGCCAGAGACTAGGAAATTATAGATTTTGATCCAGCGTCCACTACCACCAGGGTCAACGAGCGACTAGAAAATTATGCTTATCGTTCTAGCGAACGCCAGCGTCCACCAGCGTCCAGCAGCTGCAGATCGCTGGTGGAGGCCGCCGCAAAGTATAAACGTAGTCTTATCTCGGATACCCGCTACCTGCCGGACACGCCCAATTAATAGCCAAACGCTTCTCATAACGCTTCCCCACAAATTTTCTGAAGTTGTTTTCGAAAAATCACCACCTTTTCCCCACAAAACTATTGTCGAGCCGAACGGAGGGAGGGAGGGGGGGTGGTGGTATCACAACCCTCGTGCATCAGGTGCGCGCACTGTCGAGTGACAACACACATTTCTACATCTATGGGTCTGCCTATCTCGCACATGGTAGGAATCCATCTTGCAGGTAAGTAGCACAGCATGTTCTCAAAATATCGTGAAAATAAGTGTTCTCAGAACATCGCGAAAACCAACTCGATACTTGTGTCAAAGAGCCAAACACATTCAGTGATAGTGAAATCGATGGAATGGTTTTCAACACGTGCGCTAGGTTATGGGGTCCAAGTAACCTCCCAGCACATGATGCAGCGGATTTTTCGAGATGTTCAACAAAGTAACTCAATTGTGAGTAAGAAAGGAAATTACCTTGACCATTCTCCAACTAGGCCAAATCTGAATAGGTTCCACTTCATGCGGTGTTTGGCAACTAATACCATATGTAGAGAGCGTCATTTGAAGATGGGTGGACTCTGCTAATAAAGCTATTTGAACAACAGGGTCGCCTTCCATGCCTCCCTGAAAAGACCCTTGCAGTGAAGAACTTATGAGCAAAAGCTGTCGACATCTTACTTGGAAATCCGAATGTCGCTTGAACTGCACTGGACGCTGTGAAGCGGGCAAATGGCGATTGATAGGATCTAGGTCTGATTTATGGATCAAGCCTTGGCCTGAAAACATCGTCGTATAAACCACGTTCACCTCCAAGAACAGAAAATAGGGGAAACGCACGGACAAGCAGCAGTATAATATAGACGGCATTGCTCCACAAGTGATGTCCGAACTCCCGAGGGTTGACCGGATAAAGATCAGTCGAGTTTGGCATGGCACGCTCGCGATCCATGTAGCATTCGTCCACACAATAGCATTCAGGAACTACCATTCCACCGGTTACTAAACAAGTCCACTGAATAGGAGGCCTTTTACCGAAGCAAAAGAAGTATAGGAAGCACCGTCATCATCGTTGACGAGTAGACTTTGTAGTTTATCGAAGTATTTATCGGCATGTTCTTGATCTCCACGGAAGAATGCTGCAAGTAAAGCTTTTGCGTAGACGTAGAAACCTATTTGGAAAGTTTCCAAAGGACATTCAAATTTGCTATATTCTTTTAAGAGCCATAAACTTCTGAATTGCAGTACAATACCTGTTAGACTCATATAAGCGAAGAACATTGGGAATTGACTCTCAACACCATGGAAATGGGACGTTTCGTGCTCCTCGTAGTACTGTCGTGTATTATCTTCAAGCTCGCAATGATACCCATCTCGAAGAAACCTAAACAATCGCTATACGAATAAATCAGAGAGGCTGATGAATTCGAGCTTAAGATACTAAAACATAACACAAGTCGCTTTGCAATAAAAATTCGCATGTGCGCCATTGATATACCACCGGTTCACGGCTCGTATTTGCAGAACCGATGAGAAAGGATAGGAGGGAGCTCACGGATAAGTGACTTGAACTCAAGAGGAGAATGACCCAGCTACAGTACTCGTTTCTAAATGCACACCACTACCCCTGAGGCGTGCCGAACAAGTTTTTGCAATATCAGTGGGTGGAGTGGAGGTCCAATTAAAAAGAAACCTTCGAACGCCGAATCTTCCCTCTAGCCGACGCACGCACTTCTGCACAGTTTTCTCGATAATCTGTTCGTTATGGGAAGCAAAAGCAGGCCATCCAACGGTCATGAGAAGAGCAGCATCCGTATTCTAAAACCATCATTATTACACTTTCAGTTGTTACTGTGGTTACGACAACCGAGTTTCTGAGTAGGAATATAATCGTGAAGCTGAGTTAGGTGCTAAACGTTCGACGCTTATCGAGTAGTCGATCAAGGGCTCAGGCTGCGTTCATACACTCCGTCAGCGTCCACCGGCATCCAGGTACCGGAGTATGGGACTAGGAGCGCAGCAGACAGCTGGATTAGGCGTCGTGAAATTGTGGCGTGTGCAACCGCACCGTACAACTGCACTACACCGTACATCAAGGTTGCATGATTCCGTGCTTTAGCAGTTGAACGGTGCGGTTGCAAAAGCCGCCATTTCACGACGCCTAACCCAGCTGCCTGCTAACGCAACCCTACTTTCCCACACTCTCCAGCCTGGACGGTGGTAGACGCGGGCATTCACTAGGTCGACACCTATACTTTCCTACCCGCTGAAGCTTCGTACGCTCGAAACGCTGATGGACACTGACGCAAGCATGAACGCAGCCTAA